CAACAAGGAGCTATGGGTCCCAAATCAAACTCTTAGAACCCGAAAACCCACTCCCCAAGCCTAAATCCCTTTGAAAATGAACCCCATAACCACGCAACCAACTAGCAAAGACTAGGAGATGAAGGGTTTACCTTCGACCTGATGGGGTTTTTCTCTCGAGTGATAGAGATGGGGTTTTTTGGATCGAAAGGTGAGAACTTTTTGTTTTGGGGTTTTTTTTGGATTGGTCAGTTATTCTCCCATAAAAGAGAGGATTTTTGCTATTTGTTATTACTATGGGTTTTCACTTGCTCGACTCCTTTGGGTTGCTCCTATTTTTTTGGTTTTTATTGCTTTTAGTTCCTCATGTTCTCTACCCTTTATTTTATGTTAAAATCCCCCTCTGAAATTCTTATTTTTTTTTGTTTGCATGCACGAGGGAGCCCTGCCAATCTGCTATTGTTATGGCAGAGGGGGTATAACAGACTCGTACGGGCTCGGGTACATCAGAGGTGGTCGAAACATTGTTGCAGTATGGATCCCTTGGGGACCAAATTTGAACGCGTCTTGGTTGAATATAGCATAAACGGCGCGTTGAGCATTCGACGATGCAAGCGTGTATCCTACGTGTCAATGGATCCGACTATTGAGCTTCAATGGCGTCGATATCTAGTATCCCTCAGGGTAAACCCTAACTTTTGCTCCATCAGGGCCGTTGGATCTAAAGTTAGATCCAACGACTGGGCGACTGCGGCACGAATAGTGATTAGAAAACCCTAATGGCCCTTTGATCTGGACCGTTAGATAGGAGGCAAATCTAACGGTCCTCAATCTGTGCGGCGCTTGGCTAAAGATAACAAACCCTAGCAATTTGGGTTTCATGTGGGTGGGCTGCATACCATCTGGGCCTACTGTTTGGGTTGCTAGTAATTACTTTAGGCATGTAAAATAAACATTTAATTAGTATTCTATTTAATATTTTTTGTTTATATGTATATATTTAACATTACTTTTTTATTAATATACTCGATATAATAATATGTATAACATATAAATGTACTCTAATAGTTAACTTATTTAATTAAACAATAATAATCGATAAATATAACTAATAGTAATATGGTAATTAATATTTTATACTTAATTGATAATAATAACAATATATCACATAAATATATAATTAATAATATATAATTAATACTAATGGTAATAATGATCAATAACTAACCCCTATATATGCAAAACTAATAATATACACAAACAAAAACTCGAATGAAAACCCCGGACAAAATGAGCATCTACATATTTTATCTAGAGTAAACTCTACCGGAAAAGAAAAACTTCAATATGCTTTATGAAGAGAGAAAATGTAGAAGATGAGAGGAGAATGAAGAAATGAGTGAATTAAAAATGAAGGAGAGAGCATCATTTTATAGCTAAAAAATAGGGCATTTAGGTAAAATTGTCAAGAGAAGAATTAGTAAAATAATCTCCCAAATATCTCAACTTCCCCATTTTCTCAACATTTGAATTTTAATTAATTTAAAATTTTAAAATTCAAATAAAATAGATTTATTTTTATTTATTTGCATTATTCTATATATAAAAAAATATAGCCTCTTGCACTATCCCCCACTAATGCAAAGAAGTAGAAATCTGTAAAATAATTAAAAGAAAAGAGCAACAACGAAATTAGTTGCTTAAGCACTAGTATTTGTTAGATTTGAACTAGTACATAGTGGAATGAGTAACTCTCATCTTTAACAAATGAAAAAATCTTGAACTTGTTAAGATTAGGTTTAACTTATAACACACTACTAACCTCAAATCTATTTTATTTCCGTGATAGTTAAAAAAAATCCAAATAATAACTCATGATTCTCATAAGTGCTATAGGAAGACGACTCAGAGTCTTTCATAGAAGGTGACTAATCCTTCACGCTTATGTAGGTGATTTGATCAAGTTTATCTCATATAGACCACCCAAATTAGGCTATAAAATCTTTAAGAGCTTTTACTAAGCTCAACCTCTCATTAATAAATTCGGGGAATTCATCAAATCTGTCTCACTAGACCACCCACAAACTTAGGCTATGAATACATTAAGTATATAAAATTCAACCTCACAAACTGGTTTATCCATCAAGTCCATCTCACTAGGACCACCTAAATCCTTGACTATGTGTAGATGCTCATTTTGTCCATGGTTTTCATTTGAGCTTTATTTAAATACATATATCTATATATATATATATTTACATATAATGACATAAATTATTTTTTTAATATTGGTTATTTAAATATATAGGTTAATACATATATGGGCTAAAATAATCAAATAGTTTTTTATTTTATGTTTCTAGGTCCAATACAAGGTCCAAAAATGGATTACAAGGCCCAAAGAAATATTAAAAAAAATATGAGGGAACAAAGATGAATAGCTTTCGGTCAAACATGTTTGATCGCCTATATATTACTTTTTACATTGAATAAAGTCATTAAAGAAACAATAAGTTCAATCTACATAAATCATACTTTTTATTTTGCCTAAACTACAGAGTTGATCACTTTTGTTCCAATTTTATAAATATATGGTCACTTGATTCAAAAAAACATAATATATGGTCACTTTCGTTTCATTTTAATTAAGATGTGGTCACTGAGACGTTAGCTGTAGTGCGTTGGATGATGTGTCACATTAGTAAAAAGGTTTAATTTTTATTTGAACCAATAAACTCTAGATAAATTATTAATCATGGGTCTTTTTGAAAAACCCAAAATAATTATGGGATAAAAATTAATTTACCCTTTTTTCCTTTTGTTTTCTTCCCCAAACTATCTTCCCCAAACTATCTTACTGCTTCCCCTGTTTCATCTCTAAACCACAGCTTCATCTCCAAACGTCGGTGACCTTTTACTCTCCAACCACTATTAATGGTGGTCGATTAAACCAGAGCCTAAATCTAAACATACTGATTTCCTTTATTCATTTATTTGTTTTTGACAAAAGAGGACGTTAGTATTGGAGCATAAGGATGAGCGTTATTTGGGGCTTCATTTGCTGCAGTTTGCTGAGGTAAGAACTTATAAAACCAATGTATTCGTTGATTCTTGACCCAGATTTTATCTGACGTTTTTTCTCGCTTTCAGGTTGCCGAAGAGGCGTGTACAAATTTATTACTAAATGCTTTGTGTGATTACCTCTGTAATTTATCTGAATCTTCTCGAAATTTTATAGCAACCCTGAGTGCAAGGTATGATCCATGATCTTAATTATATAGTTTCTTGGTAAAATAAAGTTTGTAATTTCTTATCACCTGCCCTTAAGAAGGCTGAACTAACTAGCTCGGAAGATACCAGTTTTCTATAGTTGCACAACCTACTTTTGAAACTAGGAAGATATTGATGATAAATTGAATTCTGGGTTAACGTAGAACTTAGATAACATGTGGTATGTTGAATTGTTGATGAATTGTGTAGGTCATTGGATCAGATAATGAAACTAGTCGACTACTATTATGTGAAGCAACTGCTGTGGATATGAGAAAATGCTTCAATCTTCTGGGAATCACGTCCATTTACGAGAAATGATAATACTTTGTAAGCCTTTATCATCTGTACTTTGAGCTTTGGAAGAACCACTGATGATTGCAAAGGTTTAGAGATGAGAAAGGAAAGCTCGGTTGGTTTAGATTTAGACTCTGGTTTAACCGACCACTATTAATGGTGGTCGGAGAGTTAATGGTCACCGGTATAAAAATTAATTAAACGTCTCAGTGACAACATCTTAATTAAAACGAAACGAAAGTAGTCATATATTATGTTTTTTTAATCGAGTGACCTTATGTTTATAATATTGAAATAAAAGTGACTAATTCTGTAGTTTACCCTTTTATTTTTCAAAAAAGTATTAGTATATAATTAGAGACAAACATATGATTTTATGTTAAGAGAGTCAATACATAAAATTTTAAGGGATGTCAAACTTATAAAATTTTAGATGGCGAAATTAAATTTTCAATCGAAAGGAAAAAGAATATATTAAAATAGTTTAAAAATTTTAAATGGCACCGGTCTCCACTCACCCCTGATCCATCCATGTATATATGTATTTGTATGAATATATAATCTTTAAAATATACGAAGAGTTGCATACAAAGATTCCTTGGCCTGCGAATAGCTAGAGATGCATGAACGAACAATGAGCATAAATAAACAATTCTAATGGGGTTCCACGTTAGATTAATTGCTAAGCATGCAGTTCAATGAATCCCTATACGAATACAGACCTAAACAAGGGTAAAATCACGATTTTCATCCTTGTATCTTATTTATCTTAGGATTTAGTCCATATATTGTAATTTGACACAATTTAATTCTCCTATAATTATTACTGTGATGCTTCGGTTCAAATCAGTAACACTTCGGAAGTTTTCGAATAACGGTAAGCTTAAGTTCGATTAGATTCAAGAACTACCGAACCAGATTTTATGATATTAAAATTTGAATTTTTCAATATTTATCAAGTTAAATTCAAATTTTTATAAGCACAAATCCGAGCATGAATCAAGTGTCTTACCCTAGATTAAAAAAGTTTGAATTTGAATAGTTTATAAATTCAAGTGTTTATTCATATAATTGACTTTATAGAGGTTTTTTTTTTCTTCTTTTCCCGTAAAGCGTAGTTTAAAAAGTACAGAAAACAAGAGAAGTAAACCTTGAAAACTTCCATAATGATGAAATTTACAGTAACAAAAGGAGACAAGCATTTAGAACTCTTAGGTTAATTGTTGGAAGCTTGAAAGAGAGAAAAACAGTCCATAGAATAAACTAGACATGCAATAATCAAACACTTTTTTATTGAAAAAACCGATGGGATTTTAAGGAAAGTTGAGGTCTGATGAATATAGCTTATCCCATGAGAGAAAAGAATCCATACCATAAACCCAATGCTTTACGGATTCTTCTTGAACAGCGGAATTGGTTTCCCCCATTGAAGATTTGTTGGATTCTTCCATTGATTATGAAGAACATGTGTTTGCACCTTGGTTCAACCATGAATCCAAGTCAAAGCTCTCACACAACGTTCGGCACTTGTTGAAGATATCATTTGTTTCATCCAAATCTAATCGGATTTCCTCCGGTTTCTCGTTGTCTTTTCTCGGAATAATGTCTCGTTCGTCGTCGTTGTCCAGATTATTCCACGAATTCCCGTCGGTTTTCTCTATGGGCTTGTGTGTCACGTGGTCCAATCCTAGCAGCGTCAACTTCTTGATTTTAGTATTCCAATGGTTCTTGATCTCATTGTTGCTACGGCCCAGAAAATGCGACGCGATCTTCGACCACCAAGAAGAAACAAACGTTCCTCCTTTGTGTCACAGATCATCGTAAGGGAACAGTTTCGTGTTTGCGAGGTTTACCTGTTTCCGAGACGCGAATGGAGTTGAATAATCTGGTCCTCGTCGGATTCAGTGAATGCCCCTCTCTTAACGTCTGGTCTTAGATAATTAATCCATCTCAACCTGCAACCTTTCCCGCATCTTAACAACCCTGCAGCCGTCCTCGTGGTCATTGCTCAAAATTTAATTCAGTTGATTCATATTACTTATTAGTATTAAACTGTAATTGTAGTGCAACGAAACAATCATATCGTCACTTTTTCCAAGGTCACTGTCACATCTAAGTTGCGACCACAACCGCAATTTAATAATAATACAAAAGGGAAGAAAGAAGAGAATTTACCTGCAAGCCTAGGGACAGTTCCCCAGCAACGGATACCATTGTTGAGTATGAAGTTCATGAGCTTGTGTTCTTCGATCGTCCAGGGTCCGCGTTTTAACTCGACCTTATTGCGATAGAGTTGACGTCCCATTCCCCGGGGAAACTCGGAGGAGAAAACAAGGTGACAAGGGTGCTTAAAAAGGAAGAAGAAGGAGCTTACGTCAGCCCATTCAAGCATTTGTGGTTTTTTTTAAAGGAAACACTACAGCATAAGTGGTCTATATTGGCTTTTTTTGTCCTATAGAGGTGTTTAAAAGTGTCTCTAAAAATGTTTCCGGCATAAAAAAAACCTCAAAAAACGCCACAACTGTTAATGACGTTTTCTACTAATAAACACCGCTAAAACTCAGGTTATTTAGTGGAGTTTGAGTATACAAACGTCGCTAAAGGTCAGGTTATATTGTGGTATTTTAAGATACAAACGCCGCAATAGGTTAGCCATATAGTGGCGTTTTTGGGCGCAAACGTCGTAATAGGTTTGATATTTATAAGAATATTCCCGAAACAGATTCGATATTTAGCGGTGTTTGTATTCTAAAACGCCGCAATAGATTTGATATGTAGCGGCATTTAATCGATTTGATATGTAGCGGTGTGTCCGACAGAAACGGCACAACAGGTTGGTCATTTAGCAATGTTTATTCCTAAAACGCCGCCAAATATGCACTCCTTAGTGGTGTTTTACCCCTAAAACGCCGTTAATCGAAACTGATTTTAGCATATCTTATTTGTATTTTGTATTACCCAAATTTAACCTGTAACAATATCCAACAACTTGTCGTAAATTTAATTACGATTTGAATTAAGTAATAATACATAAAAACATAAATAAATCAAAGTTTACAAACATCTAAGTTAAATATAATGTAGTTCAACATTTTTTCAATAACATAAAGTAAGCATTAAGCTAAGAAAACACCTAGGATGATGAATTCTTCGTTTGATTATGCTGCATCATCTGCCTCATAGCTTAAATTTGTTTTTGAAGTTCTTTATATTTTATGTGAAATGTTGCTTCTCTCTCTCTTCTATCGCTACTCTCTGCTTCTCTCGCTGCTCTCTCTGCTTCTTTCATTTCAGATTCGTCTTTCATTTGAGCAATTTTTTCATCAACTTGACTCAGCTGTTGTTTTAATCGAATAACTTCTTATTGAGAACATTGGATGTGTGATGGCATGTACTGAGACAAGCTGGATCCAAAGAATTTGGTTGGAGTAACAAATGATCCCTGACAGTGAACTCGACCATATCTTTCAGGACCGAAAACTTCAACAATAACTTGATTTTCAATCTCCTCCGCATTAATAGAAGCATGGGATGAAGTCGTAGCTCCGTACTTTACCCTTTTATTGCCAATTTTCCTGATAATCAATTAAGAATATAGAACAAATTCAAGAATTATTTAAAATATGAAATTTTATACTATAAATATAACATAATGCAAATTTTATATCCAGTAAATATACCATAATTTTTGCAGCTTCAGGAGCCATAGAGAGCAATCTTTTTTGTATGTGTCATTTCAAAGAGTTGTATTCGACCAACTCTACTACCGGACATGATTTCCTACAATGTAGAATATAAATTAATACTTACAAAAAATCAATAAATAATAGAAAAAATGTTAAATACTATATGCTACCAACTTAAAATGACTATATGAATAATCATAATTAAAACGTGAATACCTGTTCATGAGCTACACGAGCAAAGCTCTTCGATTCTGCAGTGTGAGTAAACTTTTTTTGTTATCTACTAGCAATACCAACATGCTCTCGGTCCTAAAATTTGAACTCCACATGACTTATAAAGTCAATAATTTAGTGACATAATATTATTTTTAAAGTGTGTCATACCTCTCCTTTCTTTGAACTCCAAAATCTGACTGTATCTTCCCATTGATATCTAGGTGGGACATTTATAGCTTTCCTTCAAGGCTGAGATTATTCTTCAAATATTTCTTTTTTTAAGAAACTCTTGTGGTCTTTCCATTTCTTTTCTAACACTTGCTTCAAATATTCATCTGCTAAAGAAAATTTCTCCTATAATTTATACAAGTGTTGAAAGTAAATATATATTACTATTGAAGTACAATGAATAATTTATTACAATAAATTATTACCTTAATGCAATCCATAGCTTTGTTTTTTCTACTATTCGGCATCTCACGCCATGACTCATAATTTATCGGTAGAATACTTGCATTTCATGCAATAACTACTAGGTAACCTGATAGAACACGTGCTTCTGTCCCAATAGGCTGGCCGACATCGTTACTTGAAACTCTAACGCTGTCCCCAAGAGGTAGTTGATACAATTCCTTCATTATCGTATGACCTCTATTATTGCGTGTTTGACCATTTTCAGCTACATAGGAAATACTTTAATGTAGGTTTTCAAAATCAAGTCAATAAGAAAATCAATCACCATTTAAATAAGGAGTCGAACATTACCTTCAATTTCTACAGTTTCTTCAATGGTATTCGGAACTTCTGTAGATCCAACACCAATTGACTCTTCATTATTTGTTTCTTCCTCCTCTGCAGGAGCTCGAACAATCCGCGGATCACTTAATTTTCTCCTAGGCATAATATCTGCAATAAATAAACGACAATATTAGTAAATACCGACAACAATACTAGTAATATATATATTCGACGACATCAACATATATAAATGATAACATTATAAATTACTCAATTAAGATATAAGATCTAACTACATTGTTATGTAATACCAATTTTCATAAATATCTTCATCCATGTCATCTTGGATCCATTAGAATTGTGAACTAGTACCAGTAATAGGTTCATCTAAATTTTGTTCTACAAAAGGCAAAGTTTTGATCTTGTTTCAATGTCATCTCTACTTCCATCCACGATGTCTATCAAGTCTCTAGGGGTGTTACGAAGTACAACATACCAACCCTCATCCATTGTATCGTGGCAGTAAAAAAACTTGTTTGACTTGAGAAGAAAATACATATGGCTCGTCCATCAATTGCTGACCAGTGTGAATTAATCGAGAAACGTTCACCATTGTAAAACCTAATTGATTTCTTTTAATACCTTGAGTACTATTTACATCAGCCCAATCACACCGAAGTAACACAACCTTTCATTTGACAAAATAATCCAACTCAATGATATCCGTAAGGATTCCATAATATTCTACATCTCCCTCTGCAAGATGGTTGTCTCTAGCACTAGCATAACTTGTACTTGAAGAAGTAACAAGTACTAAACAATTTTGTGTCCTCCTTAATCTTTCACGAGATTTTGTGTGGAACCTAAACCCATTAATGATGATGGAATTATATTTTTTAACAATAATATTCGTTATATTTTTTAATAATTCTATTCGGACCTTGAAAAAGCCATTTAACCTCTTCACTAACTTCTCTCCAACTCCAAACTTATTTTGCATGAAAGGATAGTCGTTTAACATTTATATCAATATATTAAAACAATAAGAGTTATACATAATTTCGGTTTCATGGAAAGAGTTATTTGCTTACCGTATGCCCTAACCATTCATGAAAAGTTTCTGTGAACAACATTTGAATATGTCGCTGATGTATTCTTTTGGAGCGTGATTGAGATCTTAAGACTTCTTTAAACTCACTATAAAGAAGATAATGTGGTTAAAGAATGAGAAATATGAAATTTCACGAGAAAGTTCATTAGGATTTTTAATGTAAAACTTATATGCGTAAAGGATCTAATGAATCGTGATGGAAAAGAACATATCGTTGTGCTTGCACCCAATACTTCTCATCTAACTGTGCAATTTCAACTTTGTCGAGTGGTTCACCATAACTTCCAAACAAATAAGTATCAGCTAAGTTATTCATATTGGACACTTCATTTCTATTTGGTTTATTCAATCTTGTTTCAGCATCTTCCAGATATCTAGAGCAAAAAGTCATACACTCCTCTGCCAAATACTCTTCAGCAATTGATCCTTCTTGATAACATTTATTACGACAATAAGACTTCAACTTACACAAAAACCTAGACACTAACACAACTATATATTAATAGTTTTCATTAAAAGATATGTTCATAATTATATTGAATACATATAACACAACCAACACCTCTCTATAGGATACATCCACCGATAGAAAATTGGTCCACCAACTTTAACTTCACGAGGGAGATGAACTAGAAAATGCCCCATTATTACGAATAATGAAGGTGGAAATATCTTCTCCAGATTGCATAAAGTCAAGGCGACTCAATCTTGCAGTTTCTCAACTTCTTCAACCATCAGAACTTTCCCACAAATAAATTTCATTATATTGGAAAGTTTAATTATACAAGACGCCACCTTATTCGACATGCAACCACATAAAGCAACTGGTAGTAAATCTTGCATCAATATATGATAATCATGTGACTTTAGAGAATAAAATCTTCGATCTTTAACATTGACACATAGAGATATATTTGATGCATACCCATCTGGGACTTTTCTATCCTTCAACACTGTGCAGAAGACTTCTTTTTCTTTCTTCGACATTGTAAAAATAGAAGGTGGTAACCAAGATTTTCCATTATGAAGTAATTGAGGATGAAGATCATGCTGAATTTTGATGTTAACTAAGTCAAGTCAACTCCTTAGATTATCTTTAGATTTACTATCGACATTGAGAATGGTCCCGATAATATTCTCACAAACATTCTTCTCAATATTCATGACATCAAGATTATGTCTTATAATGAGATCCTTCCAATAAGGCAACTCCAAGAAAATACTTCTCTTTTTCCACAAATTCACCTAATTTTG